CCTCTCTATGTCCTTCTGAAATCTTGTCCAAAGGTCAGGGTTGCAACCATTTTCGGGGTGAAACAAACAGTTATACTCTATTCCCACATTCACACCACTCACATCTTGGATGCAATATTTAACATTCACACTATATAGCAGCCACTTATAAAGTCTCCATTGCTAAATAATGGAGTCTGCCTACTTCCCCAAGGCATGGGAACACCGAATTCCCTGGGCACGAGCTATAACCAATGTCCCCCAGCAACAAGAGAACTTGTATTATAAATGGAATTCCACAAACAGTAATTTTATAACAGAAACACTTAACAATCACAAAGATAATGGCAATGACAAACACAGTTCTTATTAAAACCAGTTCGGACATTTACTCGTTACATGATCCTACCAGGCCCCTTCCTGGCAGCTAACTGCAAATGCCCCCCACTGGCCAATCACTTTAAACTATGGATCCGATACATCTTTTGTTGTCATGATTTTTCCAAAGTATTACAAAGTATTACAAAGCTTACACTCCCGAGTGCATTATAGCCTCACTCTCAGGATGCCTTGCAAGATTTTACCTTTGAGGTTTTCAGAATTCTCGAGATACCTCCCCAAGTGGGACCCCCTTCCTAGGGGTGTACTACCACACTGACCGTGATCACGCAACCTATACCTGTGGATCCACTCTCAGGGAGAGCAACCTCACTCCTTCACCCCCACGTAGGACGTCTCTTTACGACTTACGGGTCCCTGTACCTGTAACATACCTGGTCCGCGCCAAGGCTCTTTCTCTGCCCCACAGTGGATGTGTCAGCCTGGAGAGTCTTCTCCAAAATTTTTGGGGTGCGCCTGAAGGGTCCCCTGGGATGACCAGCGCTGTGGTCCAGCAAAGAGTCTCCAGGCTGGCTCACCAAATTGACTTGTGAAATCAAGCTCCATAACCACAAAGTAAACTGGTTAATGCAATAATCTCTGCCTTCTGGGCTGACGCGTTGGGCGCGAGGGCCCTGGATTCTATTCCCTTATCCGTGGAAGTCACAGCATACGCAGCCTTGCACGTTCCTTGCTGCATGTAACTGCTACCATCTGTATACCAAGAGTCCTCTGGATGAACAGCTCTTCCTTCAAATCTGGTCGACTACAGTATACTGCCTCAATAGTCTCCAAGCAGTCATGAGTTGCCGGCTCTCATGAAGTTCCGCTAAGAAACCATGCTGGGTTGACAATGTTAGTCACCACTATTTCTATGTCATCTTGCTCTATCAGAATGGCTTGATACTTGAGAAAACTTTGTGGCGAGAGCCAGTGCCCCCCTTTTGCTTCCAATACTGTAGATACAGTGTGAGATACAAATACTGTAATTTTCTGGCCTACCGTGAATTTCCGTGCTTACAGAATATTAAGCACTAAGACAGACACCGCTCTCAGGCAGCTAGACCACCCTTTGCTTACTTCGTCAAGCTACTAAGAGAAATAGGCCACTGCACTCTGATAAGGCCCTAGTTTCTGAGCAAGGATACACAGTGCCACTCCCTGTTTCTCATGGGGGAATAACGAAAATGGCTTAGTAGTATCAGGCAATCCCAGGGCAGGAGCGCTCATTAATTCTTGTTTTAACTGATGGAATGCTTCCCTGACCTCCCTATCCTATATGAGGACCTTTGGACAAGATTTCAGAAGGACATAGAGAGGTTTTAACAGTATTCCATAGTTATATATCCATAGGCAGCACCACCCTGTCATGCCTAGGAAAGTCTGGAGCTCCTTAGTTGTCTGAGGTTCGGGACTCTGGCAAATTGCTTCCTTCCTTGGTCCTCTCTTATTTGGGGGTGTTGGTTGATGCTCGGCTGAACATGAGCTGACAGTGTGCCCAGGTGGCCAAGAGGGCCAACGGCATCCTGGCCTGCATTAGAAATGGTGTGGCCAGCAGGAGCAGGGAGGTAATCATCCCCCTGTACTCAGCACTGGTGAGGCCACACCTCGAGTACTGTGCTCTTGCAGCTGACTTGTGAAATCAAGCTCCATAACCACAAAGTAGTTATAAAAGCAGGTATGTTTATCAGCACTGCGCACGCGCACTGTGTGCAAATGGGGTAACCCCTCCTAGTTTACACACCGTGAGGTAGAGGTTAAGAACATTTATAGAGACAAGTCATACATTCATACATATGCCACGAGTAGGAGGAATATTACAATTACTCCCGAGAGATTATTATCATATTCTCCACCCCTAGCCCAGCCCCTTTTAGCATGCGTACTGAGTCGTGCTGGTGGTCTTCAGGGCTCGTAGGATGAAGGCCTAATATCTCCTAACGTCTCTATAAAGATGGCCGCTCTCACTTTTCGCCTGTTCCCCTCCTCCTGGAGTTAGATGCGGCAGTACTCTCAGAAGCGTACCGTGCCGCAGCGCATTCTGGGTGCCTCTTCCTGCCGTGACGCTGCAGATAGAATCTAGTGCCGCCTGTGTGGCGCTCTCTGTTCCGTCATCCGATGAGGATGGTGGGCGTGAAGGTGATCGTCAACGACACTGACTTTCAGCCCGAGCTGAGCGCGGTCGGGTCTCGTCTGGCCGTGGTGAAATTCACCATGCGGGGGTGAGTGGCACCGTGAAGCGCAGGGTCCGGCCTGCCGGAGCACTGGATCAACGTGGGCCTGGAGCCGTGCTGGGGGCGGGAACCTGGGGCTGTCGTCGCGTCCGAGCTGTCAGTGTCTGTATGTTTTTCTTAAATCCTTCCGTTTCTTATTTAACTTTTTAGTGCGCTTTCTAAGGCTGCGCGGAGCCTCAGGCATTTTCAGCAGCTGCTGGCTGTGTGAGCACTGTCACTGCGTGTACCGCGGGCTCTGGGTGCTGCCCCTGAGCCGTTCTGCTCTGGGGTGCCTCAGCCTTACCCTGTGGTGATGCTTTTTACAGTCCTCGTGCATGTGTACGTGAATATATTTTGCCTATAGACTAGCCAATATGCCAAATCCTGGTCAGATTACGGGCATGATGTCCTATAGGAATACCTATAGATGTGCCTTGCTATGCAGTTAGAGATTTGTGTCCTTTCTCAGACTGAGGATGGGAAGGGGGAGGCTGAAGGTCTGTCAGCAGGTTGGCATTGGCAGAGCCCTCTCTCTGCTTGAGTTAGGGCAGATGTCTATGAGCTTCGAGGCTACGAGATATGGTTTAGTTTGTGGTAGCAATGATAATGAGAAGACGATTGGAGTAGATTATCTTACAGGTCGTTTCCAACCTTGTGATTCTATGATAAGGCTGGAGAAGATCTCTAAGATCATCTAGTCCAACCGTAGTTGCTAATTACAGCAGCTGAATGCTGCCTAGCCCTTTGGTCACTCCCCCTCCTTCCAGTGGGATGCAGGAGAAAATTGAAAATAAAGAATAGAACTTGTGAATAGTTTTTATTTCAATTTACTAAGAAAAGGAAGAGAGAAATAACAGTAATGATAATATATATATATATATACAAAAAAAAAAAAAAAAAAAAGCGATGCACAGGGCAATTGCTCACCACATGCCAACTGATGCCCAGCCAGTCCCTGAACAGCAGCCCTTCTCTCAGACAACTCCCCTCAATTTGATATTATTTTGCATGTTGTCATATGGTATGGAGTATCCGTTTGGCCAGTTTAGGTCAACTGTCCTGATTTTATTTTTTTCTTTTCCCCCCCTTCCCCTAGCCCCTCACTGGCAGGACAGTATGAGAAGCTGAATCATCCTTGGCTCTGTGCAGCACTGCTTAGCAACAACTAAAACATAGATGTTTTATCAACACTGTTTTTCTCCTAAAGCCAAAACATAGCATCATACCAAACACTATGAAGAAAAACAACTCTGCCCCAGCTGAAACTAATATCTACCTCTTTTCCAATACCATTTACACCATGCTCAGGTCCCACAGTTTTGCATACATCCTAACTAATTACCATCATCTGTCTTACTTTTTGATGTATACACACAGATATAGTTCCATGGTCTATTGGCCATCCATGTAAATTGTCTGTGGAGTTCATTTAGTCCTTGACTTGGGGCTCCATCTGTCATAAGTCCTTGACTTGGGGCTCCATCTGTCTGTCATAAGTCCTTTGGGGCAGGAGGGATGACTCTCTGTCTTGGGTTACTGCATGCAGAAGCTAATTCTGGTTTGGTTTTTTTAGCTTGCGTAGTTCTTACTGTACTACTGTTAACAACCACAGTAATTATGACATGCGGTATTATGTAGCAATTAACATATTACAACTTAAATTATTGGCTGTTCACACCTAGTATCAAATCCCCTTGAGGTACACACCAGATGTGCTATTTGACTTAACTCTTTGCCCTTCACAGAAGTCCATTTAATTTGGAGTATTTTGCTTTGCTGTCAAAGGTGCTGGAACTAAATGGATGAGGTAGAAAGTATTAAGTTAGTTTTAATTAATAGCTGTGCCTAATCATGTGACACGAGGATTGTCTAAGGAGGTGGGAATTAACACTTCATGACATGTTTCTAAATGTCATTCTTAATTGTATCACTAGGATTGCTAACTGTCTGTGCCAGGTAGGAATGTTATTTTAGCACGTACCAAGGATATAGTAAGAAAATGAACGTGCTGATTCTATTTAGGGAAGGTATTTAAAAAACAAAACAAAACAAAAAACAAAACAAACAAACAAACAAACAAAACACTTGAATTTTATCTTGTTTTCACAGATGTGGCCCTTGTTTAAGGATAGCCCCAGCTTTCAATGCTCTGAGTAACAAATATCTTCGGGCAATGTTTTTGGAAGTGGATGTGCATCAGTGCCAGGTTGGTATTCCAAAACATATTATCTCTTTTCTAAGAGAAAGATTAGACAATGTAGTGACCAAGCAACTGGAAGGAAAGCTGCTCAGACAGTATAACTGTCCATTTCTGTGTTTGGTGAATGACAGGTAATTGTGTTGTGAAACTCTCCAAAATTATTATATTCACAGAGATGTGAACGAATATTCAGGAAAGTATTCTTGCAGTTAGCACTTGGATATCCTTTGTTTAAATGGTGTGCAGGCAGTTTAGCAGTTCCTGCTATATGTGCTATTTAGATACACAGTTAAAGATGCCACCAGTGTGAATTAAGATTAGCAAATTTTTTCACACTCTGCAATAATTATTGACTAAAATCATAAGTGCAATAAACTGATGATTAGTGGAACTAGATTCCTCTCAAGTACTACACCACTGTTTTTAACAGACAACAGTGTTGCAGATGAGGTGTTGATTGACTTAAGGGTCATTAACAAAAATCAACAGTGGTATGTTGAAAGGCAGTTTCTTGAGTTACTGCAAATGATAATGGAGAGAAGTGAATATAGAAGTAGCAACACTGCAAAGGACACTAAACTATGGAAAGCTTTGGAAAAACTACTAAAGGTGCATAACAAATACAGGTAGAAATCAAATGGAAGCCACCTTCTGCAGTGGAAGGCTGCAGCTTTCATGGTGTGCGTGAATGTATCTTTGGAAAGGGAAGGAATGCAGGTGTAAAGAATGCTTGAAATGCAGTAAATGAAGTAATCCTCCTCCTGATGTACTGACAAATCTACTGGTAACACAAAATCCATTGAAAGAATGCCTAAATGTATTAAAGATTAGGAGGATCTGAAGAATTAAAACAAATGAAGTTATTGTCTGACTTGAAGATGCTTATAAAATAACAAATATTGTTTGCAAACTTGGGGCTGATGTAGCTTGATTAATATTAATGTGTACATTCTCATCTAGGTGGAATCAATGTTTGTCTCATATTGGTGATAGTCTGCTAGGTAATCCTAGTAACCAATTTATGCATTCTAGGGAACAGCTGCTACCAATAATATATCAGCAACGCCAACATTTCTGTTTTTTCGCAACAAAGTACGAATCGACCAATATCAAGGAGCAGATGTTCTAGGGTTAGAAGAAAAAATTAAGCAGCACCTGGAGAACGATCCTGGAAACAGTGAAGATACAGATATCCCCAAAGGATATGTATGTGTGTGTTTTTTGTTTTTTAAACATTTAGGTAGCTTGAACTGTTCCTTTCTAAATGTATTCTGTTGAACTAATACTACTGTAGGCAAAACTACAAGCTCCCCATGGCTTTGGGGGACAAAATTTGAAAGTTAACCATACTTACTAAATATTCTACAACTCCGTAACGTACATATGTTAAGAAAAATCTCTGCACATAGCCCTTAGCAATTTAAATAATGAATTTCATGGTTGGTGATGAAGATTTTGCTACAGTTGGATGTTATTTCTTTCCTCTTCTTGGGCATCGTGATCTGTGAACAGCTGTGGTGTCCCTGTTCATTGCAGGGGATTTGGACTAGATGGCCTTCAGAGGCCCCTTCCAACTCTAATGATTCTATGATCTTCCTTGGTAAAGGACATTGTTAGACATAGCTGTCCAAAAGTTGCTCTGGTTCTTAAGGAAGAAGTCCTCTCTGTTATTCATGTGGCAGTAAGTTGATTTGTAGTTTATAGGTTTGTTTGTTTTTATCTTTCTTGCTCAGCGCTTTTTAAAATAAATGATAAAGAGGATTAAAGAAAAAAAAATCTCTGAAGGCAGTTTGCCACGAAAATGGAGTGCCATATGTTCTCAGACAAAATGGTTTTTAAACTTTGCATCTAAATCACATAACTGAAACTGATTTTTAACTTTTTTTTCTAGCAATTTTAAAAATCTGTATTCTTGAACAGATATTTTTAAATTATTGTGTGGTTTATATGCGCATTCCAGAAAAATGAAAACTTGGTAAGGATACTTGAAGTTTAGAAATATTTGGTGCACTCAGGAAATTATTTCCCTATGTCATGAATGTTTTCTTGTTACCTCAGGGCAACTGTGTGCTTCAAATTACAAGCCTATCTGACAGCTGTCCTAACAAACATGTGAGAACTCTAATGTGACAAAACACTTTACTAGAGCTGTTGTCTTAGGTGGTGTTCTCCAAGCAATCCTTGGTGCAGTATTACTCCTTGAGATTGTCTGTTGTTCTACCAGAAATATAAACCCAGTTAGGTGAAATATAATTCACCACATAACTAAGTCACGTCACAGTTCAGTGACGTGTGTGTGCATCACTTCACATTAGAAAATCTAAAATCTTCAACTTGGCTGTGATGGGCATCTGTAGAATTCCAAATGACGTGGAATCCAAAACCAGGTATTTCTGGAGACTATTTCAAATTCATAGCTGACTATATCTTATGGGACAAATGTGAGCAGGATGCAAATTCAGCTGGATATTTCTCATTTAGGTAAACTTCAAGGGCAAAGGTCGCTTGAATTTCTAGCAGTTCTGATACTTGTTAACTGTTCCACCATATGCATTGGACTTCAGTTTATATAGCACAGGAGGGGATAGGAGAAAGGTAGTAAGTAGTTTCACTTGGAATAACAGTTCCTAGTGGTAAAGGAAGTGGGATTCGGGAAATGAGCTGTATTCTCTAAGCAGCCTGTGTTTGAGTTTAGTTTAGATTGTGAAGCTTATAGCCTGAGCTGTAACATGTAGTAACTTTTAAAAGCTAGAATATGGGGCTTTTTCATGAGGGGGTATATTACTCTCTGGGACCTAATATATGTTTTAGGTTGCCATCCTACAAGTTCCTGTAACTTTCTATTTAAATCCCTGAGGTTTTCTGTGTGGGTTTTGTTTGTTTGTTTCACTTCAGTGAAGAATTTCATTCCTGCTACTGTCAGGTGAGTTTATGGCAGAGGTATACAATCAGCAATTCTACTGTTTTGTTTTTTTTCCTTTCAGATGGATTTAATGCCATTTATCAATAAAGCTGGCTGTGAATGTCTTAATGAAAGTGATGAGCATGGATTTGATAATTGTTTACGTAAAGATTCTACCTACTTGGAATCAGATTGTGATGAGCAGGTAGAGTAAAATTAAGTAGGATATTTTCAGTGTCTGGTCTGCAAATGTTTTTGAAGAGTTGGCTTTATATCACTGGTAGTGTAGGAGTGGGAGACAGTAGGTGGATGGAAGTAAAATTGGTATACAAAGATCACTGTAGCATTTCCAACTTCCTATGCAGTTCTGAGGAAAAATTCCGAGCAGAGTAGCATTTAAAGACTCAGTAAAGTTACAGACTAGTGCATGTGTGGAATATAAAGAATGTAAATACTTGATTTTATTTTGAAGTTCAGACTTCTACTTAATTATTGTGCTATGTTTGTTTCTTTTAAGAATAAAGAAAACAGTATTTAACAGCAACTTTGTCCTTCACAGCTGCTTATTACTGTTGCTTTTAGTCAACCAGTCAAGCTTTATTCCATGAAACTTCAGGGGCCAGATAATGGTGAGTGAGGTATCTTTAATCATGCCCTTGAAACCTGAGCTTTCCCCACGTTTAGTTAAATTTTTGAAAAATGACAATATTGTCCCTAGTTCATTTTACCTTCTGCAAATCCCATAACAACTTAATTGAATTTTATCAAACTAAAAACATAAACGATCTCGCATTACTATTCTGACCACGTGCGCCGATATCTGGTAGGACACAGATATTCATTCTGTCTGGACATGGTGTGAGAAGAACATCTATTCAATTCAAAAATTAAGTTTGAGTGTTACTGAAGGGCATAGCTTAGCTTTGATGTTTAGTTGATTTAAATTGGGAAATTAAAATAGACATAATGTCATATGTGACACAAAAACAACTACTCTTAGAAATTTCATTGGATTTATTATGTGGAATTGTCACTGAAACCTAGGTGAGTAGTGCAACTTCAGATATCCTTCAATATCTGGAGCGGTGGCCTAGGGTTGGCAGATTTGTAGTTCTAGCATCTTAAGTCCATGCATTCCTTGAGTAGTACCTAGATGCTGCAATAAGCAAGGGCTTCTTGAGCAACATTTTAAGAAAAGTGTACTTAGGTACCTGAATCCCACTTCTATATCTTAACACAGGGCAAGGTCCAAAGTACATAAAAATCTTTATCAACCTTCCTCGATCTATGAATTTTGAAGAAGCAGAAACAAGTGAACCAACTCAAGCCCTGGAGCTAACACCAGATGATATTAAAGAAGATGGCATTGTCCAGCTTCGCTATGTTAAATTTCAGAACGTTAACTGTGTAACTGTAAGTAAACCTCTGGTTCTGTGGTCTGCACAGGTTGAAAACTTCATAGATGTTTAAAGCATTATGATGTTGATTTCACTGCAAACGTTCTTAGTTGTTCTCAACTGATGGCATGCTATATGTTCACACTGGAAGAATTTCTGCAGTATAAGGTGAAGGAAGGCCATGTGTGTGCATCGCATCTCTGACCTATTATGTGAGATAAGGTTCATTTTCACTTATTCAGGAGCTAGCATAATGCTTAACAGAACTTGCATTTTTACCATCATAACTTCCTGAAAGCAATCTTCTCTGCATTCTGAGAGAGGGGGAAGCAAGAAATGCAGTTTGAAGAAATCCAGTGCACGTGCAGTTTCCCCTACTGTAGGTTGTGGTTTAACCTGACAGCTAGCTAAGCACCACACAGTCATTTGCTCACTTCCCTTTTTCCCAGTGAACAGGAGAGAAAACTGGGGGGAGGGAAGCAACAAAGTAGAACTCATGGATTGAGATAAAACTACTTACTAAGAGAAAAGAAAGGGGGGGGGGGGGAAGGGCAATGGGACAATTATTTATACATAAACACTTTAGGCCATGATAGTCCACCATTGCCTCCACTCCACTCCCCACTGGACTTTTCCACTGGCCACATGGAGCTATTGAGGGGTGAGTGAGTCTTGCTGGTTACTCCTTGGTTCTCCAGTTGATGAATCAGCTAATGAATGAGAATCAGGGAGTCCCAGCTGGTGCAATATTGCCACTGGTGCACTATTATAGTAGCGATTGGCACCTGCTGTTCTTCTACTCCTAGCAACCCCACAACAGAAGGATCCTCTGAGAGACCAGGCAAGGTAGACAGCTGCTTAATGTCCTCTATCTCTAAGGCAGCTCTACCAAAAGCCCACCACTACCTTTTTGGGTCCTTGAAGTACCTTTTCCTAAGGTAATACATACCAAGGCTGCACAGAGACTCTGGGCCGGTCACAGTGAGGTGCTTTTGCCACTCAATCCCATTTAGGCTCACTTTAGCATCCAATAGATTTCTTGGGATCCCCCTGTCACTCCAGAGATACAGATGGGTTCTGCCCCTTTATAATTTGATGGCATTAGGGTACATTATGCACCAGTGTCTCCTAGGGTCTCATACTCCCGTGGTTCTGATGTGCTAGGCCATTGAATCCACACAGTCCAATAAACCCAGTTGTCCCTTTCCTCCGTTCTGGATGGAGGCAGGGCTGTTCTGGTTGTTGTATTGATTACTTATCTCTTGTGTATGAGCACCAGAAAGCTCGCTGTCAGCCTCAGAGATAAGATGGGACCATTATCTGTCTGGAGAACTGCCAGCTGGAAATTGGAGCCACCATTTTCATAGAAAGACCCTCTCTTGTGATTGTTTTCCCCTGCAACTCACATACCTGTGCCTGTAGGGTTGAGGTGGGTTTTCCATCCCACTTCATCACATTCTCTCCGTGGTCATACAGGTAAAGCCACAGGATGATACATGGTGTGCACCTGCTATATACTCTCAAGCAGAGGAAAGCTTACTTCTAATGGAAGAAATATTGGTTTGTACAGGTGGAGGAGCCATTAACCAGTTCCTCCACAGCTGAGATACAGGCCTGTAGGAAGGAGGAGATTATCTTCATATTGAAGTAGGCTAGCCACTCCATCCACTGTTGGTCTATTGTTATCTTTCCAGTTCACTCCTGCCAGGGTGCTAGTATATGATGACAGCGCATTTCTGTCTGAGTTTCAGCTGGGATGGAATTGTTTTCTTCAGAGTGTCTGGTATGATGCTATGTTTTGGTTCTAGGAGATAAACAATGTTGATGTATAATCACAGAATATTAAGATAGTGCATAATCAAGGAAAAATGTATAATCAAAGAAAATTAAGATGCTATAGTAATGAAATAAACATGAGAGTTAGGCAAAGCAAGACAAAGAGAAAAGATAGGATGCTCACCCATATCGTGGGCTCACTCAGGAAACTCCAGTGGAGCAGATCTCCAGAAGAGAGATCCTTCCCCACTGGTAGTCAGCTCTTAAATGGGTCTAGGAGAGGTGGAGCCAGGTTCCACCCCTTCCTGGAGCACAGGTGAATGGCTTTCACCTGTGCTCCCATGGCTGACTCATTGCTCACCTCAGGTGATGAATCAGAGGTTCAGGCCCTGACCCCACCCCTTTGCAGCATGAACCAATGATCAGGTTGACTAAAGGGTAAGCTTTTCCTAATACAGGGACCCGCTATATCGCGACGCTTATACAATTTCCATCGCAACGCATGTTGGTATAATTCAAGATGAGTGACGATTGGTAAATGCTGATATTCTTTTATGGGCCAGTGCTCCATGATGTTACTGGAGGCATGCGGTCGTGAGGTGCAGGTCCATCTTATGTTCCATCAGTCCCATGTAGGCCACCGCTGGGTGTTGCAGGTGATCTGACTGTAACACTGGAACGCTTTGATGGCATTTTGTTCCTTCTGGTGATCCTGAAGGCTCAAAGACTCACGGGGAGTAATACAGATGTTTCAAGGGTACCAGGAGGGGAAGGTCTGCCATCCAGGGCAAGATACAGGCCGTATTTCTACTCTAGGTCAACGCATCTGCTTGTACTGGGGCATGTCCCGGCTGCCTGTACCACATCTTCTGGCCAGATGGCTGCAGCTGCATAACTATATCAGGCACCAAAGGAGGTGTCCTGATCTGCCATAGGGACACGATGGGGGTCCCTTTAGCAATGAAGATCAGAGTGTTGACCACAACATCAGTAGGCCGCATACCTATTACTGGAGGAACTACTGAGCCTCCCACCTCCAACAACCTCCCCCAAGGTGCAAGTAGGCCACACCACTTGGGTCCTACCTGCACCTTCCAAGGCCATTGTATTCTATGGGTGCCTGGTTCTAAATTCACAGGGGCAGGGAGCAGATGATGATTTTCATTACCAATCTGGGGTCTTACCTGATGATCAGTGCTCGTAATTTGGATCCTAAGTGGGGTGGCCCATGTTGTTTGCAACATTCTCAGGGCACTGGGTCTGCCGTCTCCAGGTCTTTCATTCAGGTCCCGCAAGGTTTCATACAGTCTTTTTGTCCACCCCTGCAGGGACTGGGAGTCTGTCTTCAGGGCAGCCTTAAGAATACCATTGTAACGTTCAATGAGGCCTGCACCCATTGGATTATATGGCAGGTGGAATCGCCATTCGATGTTACTTTCTTCTGCCCAGCGCAGTATGGTTGCACCAGTAAAATGAGTCCCTTGGTCGCTCTCGATGACTTGAGGTGTCCCATAGGCAGACATCAGTTTAGTGAGGACCTTGATGGTAATATGCCTGGTTTGCTTTTGGCACCGGATAGGCCAGCAGTAGCCCACTTGCAGTGTCGACGCAGGTCAGGGCATATCTCGCCCCCTCAGACCGAGGTAGGGGCCCAATGTAATCGACCTGCCATCGCTGGAGAGGACTGTGTCCTCTAGCAAGATGGGCTGTCGTTTCAGGCAACGATCTCGGTCTCATCTTAGAGCAAGCGTCGCAATCCCAGCATGCCTGGACGATGTCAGGTAGTTGTATGGGCAGTCCCCATGCTTTAGCAGCTGCCCACATTGTCTTTTGTCCCGCATGCCGTAGCTTCTGATGTAACCAACGGGCGATGTTCTCAGATGGTGAATTCTCAATCCATCGAACTCGGGCCAGCGTGTCAGCTTCATCATTTCCCGGTGACTGTAGGGGCTGATGACCAGAAACATGGTAGACACATATAGTCCTGTGTTTGACTGTATTCCATGAGTCTTACCATGTCTTTGCCCCAGATTGGTCGGGCGTGGATAGTCCATTCCTGGGTGGCCCACTGTGCAATCCAAAGAGTGAGCCACCGGTACACAGCCCAACTATCTGTGCAGATGTTCAGGATACCATCACCGGGTTCCTTGGTTATAACCACCCACACGGCTTGCGGTTCTGCCCATTGGCTGCCCTGACCATCCCCCTCGTCAAACCAGATCGTCTCAGTCGAAGGATGGTATGCTATCGCTCTCCACTTGCTCGGGTTGCCCTTGCTGGACCCATCTGTATACCAGGCATCTTAAGGGACAGGATATTTCCCCTCCTGAATGGGACTCTTCTCCGGTGGAGCGACTAGTGTTTCTTTTGGTACATCACTGCGATACATCACTGAGCCTAGGATCTTGTGAAGTTCTTTCAAGGGTGATGAAGACAGACTGCTCCTTTGGCTGAGGTAAGCGACCCATCGTGCCACTGTTTGTGCTTGGGCCATCCCTGTCTTAAGAAGGTGGGTCAGATCTTTCACCCACCCCGATTCGGCAGAGTGGTCTTAACTATAACTTCAGCCGTCTGGGTTATTTGGCTCTACTGCCTGTAATGCAGCATAGGCAGCCAATAACTGTTTTTCCATCATACTGTATCTTTCTTCTGCTCCGTGCCAGACCTGAGACCAAAAACCAATGGGGTTCCGAACAGAACTCTGGCATTGCCACAGGCCCCATGCAAAGCCGTCTTGAGTAATGTGAACGTCCAACTTGGCTGGGAGGGTAAGATCAGATATACCCAATGCCTGGGCTTGATTAACTGCCAGTTTTGCCTGTTAGAAAGCATCCTGTCCTGTTTTCCCCCAGTCCCATAGCTGCCCCTTTTTTGTGAGTCTGTACAGCAGCCTCAGCAGCTGCGCTAGGTGAGGTATAAAGGAACGCCAGTAACCCAATAAACTGAGAAACTCTTACAGCTGCTTTGATGTTGTAGGGACTGGGAATGCCTGAACCTCATCTATGACAGCACTGGGGAGTACTTTGGTCTTTCCTGACCAAACCACCCCCAGGAGTTGTACTGACAGGCCCGGACCTTGCACCTTTTGGGGATTTATAGCCCATCCCCTCTGTTGTAAATAGGTGGTTAATCAATCTGCCACCTGCCCTAGTGCCTGACCTCGGCTTCCTCTGATGTCCAAATATCGCACCTAGTCTGCAGGCGTTCTGTTTCTCCTAGGTCGGCCGCCAACTGGGCAGC